TATTTATGTACTTAATAACAGAGCTTCAAAATTCACGAAGCAAAAACTGAGAGGATTTCAAGAGGAAACAAGTTCCATTATAATTGGATATTCCAATACACTTCTCTTAGTAATTGGTAGAACAAATAGACAAAAAATCATTAAGGATATATAACATTTGAACATAACTAACTGTCAGACAACTTGACCTAATAGGCATTTATAGAACACTCTACCCAATAACAGCAGAATATACATTCTCTTTAAAGACACATGAAGTCTACTTTTTTAAATTCTCAAAAATGTTGGCCAGGTATGGTGGCTCACACCTGTAATTCTAGCACTTTGGGAGGCCGAGGCGGGCAGATCACTTGAGGTCAGAAGTTCAAGACCTGCCTGGCCAACAAGGTGTAACCCCATCTCCACTAAAAATATAAAAATTAGCAGGGTGTGGTGGCAGGCACCTGTAATCCCAGCTCCTTGGGAGGCTGAGGCAGGAGAGTCGCCTGAACCTGTAAGGCAGAGGCTTCAGCAAGCTGAGATCACACCACTGCACTCCAGCCTGGGCGACAGAGTGAGACTCCCTCTCTAACTAAATAAATGAATGAGTGAATGATTTAAATCATACAAAGTGTGTTTTTGTGACCACAGTATAATTCAGTTAGAAATCGGTCACTAGAAGGTCTCTGAAAGTACTTGGAAAGTAAAGAAAGCACTTCACAAATAAATCAAAAAGATATTTAGAAAATATATTATGCTGAGTGAAAATTCAAAATATCAATATTTTTAGGATACTGCTAAAAGCAGTACTTAGTGGAAGATTTAGAGTATTGAACACCATATTCGAAGAAAAGAGATTTTAAATAATTGACTTTAAGCCATCTTAATAAACTAGAAGGGAAGAGCAGATGAAATCCAAAGTAAGTAGAAGAAAGGAAATAATAAAAAGCAAAATGGGAATAAATGAAATGGGGGAAGACAGCAGAGAAAATCACTGCAACCAAAAGTAGATTCATTTAGAATATCATGAAAAGGGATAAACCTGCAGCCAGATGGGCAGTGGTGAGGAGAGACAAATTACCTGGATAGAGAATGAAAGAGGTGGTGGCACCCCTACAGATTTTATAGATATTAAAAACCTAAACTAATGGTATGAACAAATATGTACCAATTATTTTCTCTTTCTCTCTCTCTCTCTCTTTGGAGAAGGAGTCTTGCTCTGTTGCCTATGCTGGAGTGTAGTGGTGTGATCTTGACTTGTTGCATCTGCCATCTCCTGGGTCCAAGCAATTCTCCTGCCTCAGCCTCCCGAGTATCTGGAATTATAGGCATGCACCACCACACCCAGCTAATTATTGTATTTTTAGTAGAGACGGGGCTTCACCATATTGGCCAGGCTGGTCTCAAACTCCTGAGCTCAAGTGGTACCCCCACCTCAGCCTCCGAAAGTGCTGGGGTTACAGGTGTGAGCCACTGTGCCTGGCCAGTGTTAAAATCTTAGCAAGATTTTAGCAATTGGAATTTAGTAGTGTATAAAAAGAATACTATATCATGACCAAGTGGATTTCGTTGGTTTAATGTTTGAAAATCGATTGATGTTACTTACTATATTAATACAGTAGAAGGATAAGCCATATGTTTGTCTCAATATGTGTAGAAATAGCATTCGACAGAATCTAATATCCATTTCTGATAAAAGTGTTCAGCAAACTTGGAATAGAAGAGAATACCTTTAGTCTCATAAAGGACACCTTTTAAAAACCTACCACTAGCATTGAACTTAAGGGTAAAAATGAGAATTTTCCTCTTAGATCAGGAAAAATAAAATTCCTCTTTATCCACTTTTATTAAACAATGTACTGAAGGGTCTAGCTAGTGCAGTAAGACAAAATAAAAAGAAATTTTTTTAAAGAAAATGAATAAAAGAAATCCAGATTGGAAAGAAGTAAAATTGACTTTATTTACCAACAACATGATTGAATTTTTATAGGAAAATTCTATATTTACAAAAATACTAGTGTAAGTAAGTATGATAAGGTTTCAGGATATAAGATTAGTATTCAACAATCAATTGTGTTTCAGTATGGCAGCAATGAATGATTAAAATGGAAATTTTTAAACTGCCGTTTGCAGTAGTATGAAAAATCAGGAAATATCAAGGCAGAAATCTGATGAAACAGTGACAGATCCGTACACTCTACACTGGTAACTACTCTGGTTTGAATGTGTCCGCCAAAGTTTATGTGTTAGAAATTTAATCCCCAGCACAACAGTGTTTAGAAATGGGACCTTAAAGAGGCAGTAAGAGTGTTCACGGGTGGATTGATGTCTTTATTGTGGATGTGAATTGGGTATAAAAGCCAGTTTGGCCCTTTCCTGCTCTCTTTCTTGCAAGGTGATCCCTTCTACATTATGACACAGCTAGAAGGCCCTCATCAGATGTGGCTGCTTGACCCTTGATCTGGAGGACTTTCCAGCCTCCAGAAGAACTGTGAGCCAAATAACTTTTTTTTTTTTTTTTGAGACAGAGTCTCGCTCTGTCACCCAGGCTAGAGTGCAGTGACAGGATCTCTGCTTACTGCAGCCTCCGCCTCCTGGGTTCAAGGGATTCTTGTGCCACCATACCTGGCTAAAGTTTGTATTTTAGATACAGTGTTTTGCCATGTTGGCTAGGTACTTCTTGAACTCCTGGCTTCATGTAATCTGCCCACCTTGGCCTCCCAAAGAGCGGGGATTACAGGCATGAGGCAATGCTCCCAGCCAGCTTCTATTGTTTATATTAATAAATTGTCTAGACAGTGGCATTCTGATAAAGTGTGCCAAACCAATAAAGACAGCTGCAATCATTGCCGAGAGAAATTTTAAAAGACCTAAATAAAGATTTACTGTTTTCATGGATCAGAAAACTTGGTGTTGTTAAGAAATAAATTCTCAGCCAGGTGCAGTGGCTCATGTCTGTAATCCCAGCTTTTGGGAGACCAGAGCAGGTGGATTACTTGAGGCCAGGAGTTTGAGACCAGCCTGGCCAATATGGTGAAACCCATCTCTACCAGACATTACAAAAATCAGTGATCAGCAGGGTGTGGTGGCACATGCCTATAATCCCAGCTTCTCAGGAGGCTGAAGCAGGAGAATTGCTTGGACCTAGGAGGCAGAGGTTGCAGTGAGCTGAGATCATGCCACTGCACTCCAGCCTGGGCAACAGAGTGAGTCTCCCTCTGAAAAAGAAAAAAAAGAAATAAATTCTCCCTAACATTCATCTGTACATTCATTCCAATTCTAATCAAAATTTCAACAGGCCTTCTGTAGAAATTAATGAGCTCATTTTAAAATTCATACAGAAATGCAGAGGACCCGGAATACCCAAACAACTTTGACAAAAGAAAAAGAAGACTTATGTAACATAGGTTCGATGCTTATTATAAAATGGCAATAAAATAATCAAAGCAGAGCCTCCAGAGATAGACTCATACGCATCCAGACAATTGACTTTTTGTTTTTTTGAGACGGAGTCTCGCTCTTGTTGCTCAGGCTAGAGTGCAGTGGCACGATCTCGGCTCACTGCAACCTCCGCCTCCCAGGTTCAAGCAGTTCCCCTGCCTCAGCCTCCCAAGTAGCTGGAATTACATGCTTGTGCCACCATGCCTGGCTAATTATTTTTGTATTTTTAGTAGAGACAGGGTTTCTCCATGTTGCTCAAGCTGGTCTCGAACTCCTGACCTCAGATGAACCACCCACCTCGGCCTCCCAAAGTGCTGAGATTATAGGCATGAGCCACCCCACCCAGCCTGACAATTGACTTTCAACAGAGGTTCTAAACAAGAACCAAAATGGCGTTGGCCTTCTAAATAGCACCTGAAAATGCTGAGGGTGAAAAAAACACATTTCCAACCTAAATATATTTTTATATATGTATATATATAATTAGCAGGAACTATCAACTAAAGGGATAAATCAAGAGGTGGGAAAACATAAGATCTGGAAAATAGATTCCAGTACAGGTAAGAGTAAGGGGATGTCATAGAACAGTAACTGCACAGGAAGCCTAGGCATGAGATTAAAGCAGGAACAACTGGGGGGGGGTGGGGAGGAATTGATGTGTTGGAATTTACAGACAATATTATTGATAGGTGTGTGGCAGAAATGTTCCAGAAATAATTTACAATCAGGCCATAGAAAAACTGAGTAGTTTTTAAATGTGGTGATTAGTAACTCCACTAGAAAGGAAGGATTAGGGTGGCACAAAAAGGAGAGGTGGACTTCTAAACTACTTGTCTTTACAGTGTGTATTATCTGCGGAGTCATCGTAATGCAAATCTTACTTCCCACTGAATGTAGCTGAGTAGAAATTGGGTTTGCTATGTTTGCTGTCCACATTGCTCAGGATCTGAGATGTAGCCATATGTGAAAGAACTAGTGTCCTAAGCGGGTGTCTTTTCTGCATGTGCCCTGTTACTCAGGTCACTCCATGTGCCTCCTCATCAGGATAGTGTTTGGTTGTCTCCATCCCTGCTTTATGGCAGGACAGTCTGCTTTACTTCATTTACCAGTTTCCTATTAGCCAGTGTTTTTAGGGGAAATCTTTTCTAGAATAACTTTGATCCTAATATGTTTTAAGAAAAATACAAACATACTAGGCCAGGTGTGGTGGTTCACGCCTATAATCCCAGCATTTTGGGAGGCCAAGGCAGGTGGATCACCTGAGGTCAGGAGTTTGAGATCAGCCTGACCAACATGGTGAAACCTCATCTCTACTAAAAATACAAAAATTAGCCAGGTGGAATGGTATGCATCTATAATCCCAGCTACTTTGGAGGCTGAGGAAGGAGAATTGCTTGAACCTGGAAAGCAGAGGTTGCAGTGAGCTGAGATCGAGCCATTGCACTCCAGCCTGGGCAACAAGAGCAAAACTCCATCTCAAAAAAAAAAAAGACACATTAAAAAACCAACAATAATTAAAGTGCCTTTACTAGTCTTGTTTAATAGGCTGATTCTTTTTCTTTTTTTCTGATGCCCTCTAGGAAGTAAAAAGAAAGAAAAGGAACGGCCAGAAATTTCTCCTCCATCTGATTTTGAACACACTATCCATGTTGGCTTTGATGCTGTTACTGGAGAATTCACTGTAAGTTTACCTAGTTTGGGCCTATTTATAACATTTAAAATAGCACTCAAACATTTTCTTTCATTACTAAATTTGAAATTAACACTTCAGACTGGGCTCACATCTGTAATCCGAGTACTCTGGGGGAGACCAAGGTGGGCGGATCACTTGAGGTTAGGAGTTCGAGACAAGCCTGGCCAACATGGTGAAACCCCATCTCTACTAAAAATACAAAAAAAATAGCCAGGAGTGCTGATGTGCACCTGTAATCCCAGCTACTTAGGAGGCCAAGGCAAGAGAATCTCTTGAACCCAGGAGGCGGAGATTGCAGTGAGCTGAGACCACACCATTGCACACCAGCCTACACAAGAAGAGCAAAACTCTGTCTCAAAAAAACAAACAAGGCCGGGCGCGGTGGCTCACACGTGTAACCCCAGCACTTTGGGATGCTGAGGCAGGCAGATCACAAGGTCAGGAGTTCGAGACCAGCCTGGCCAATATGGTGAAACCCGATCTCTGTTAAAAATACAAAAATTAGCCTGACATGGTGGTGCATGCCTGTAATCCCAGCTACTCAGGAGGCTGAGGCAGAAGAATAGCTTGAACACAGGAGATGGAGGTTGCAGTGAGCGCTGAGATCATGCCGTTGCACTCCAGCCTAGGCAGGCAACAGAGTGAGACTCCATCTCAAAACAAAACAAAACAAAAACAAAAAAAATAAATTAACATTTCTATCCATATGTTAACTATGAATTCTTAAAGCTTTTTGCTTTTTAAAAAAGTGTTAGTGGTTGGATATATTGTTTTCCTAGAGAGCAGAGCCTATTATAGTTACGCAAAACAGACTTAGAAAAATCGAACTTTAGAAAACTAGATCTTTTAGAGTTTAGTCAAAGTTATACTCAGAGGATTGGTTTGTTTTGTCTGTTTTGTCATTTATCTCTGGAAATTAATTTTATTGAATCAATTTAAACCATAACTAATTACTGAATATCTTTTTGTTAGGGCATGCCAGAACAGTGGGCTCGATTACTACAGACCTCCAATATCACCAAACTAGAGCAAAAGAAGAATCCTCAGGCTGTGCTAGATGTCTTAAAGTTCTACGACTCCAACACAGTGAAGCAGAAATATCTGAGCTTTACTCCTCCTGGTAAGACAATGGCATAAGGCTGAATCAGATGGAGATTTGTGAAGCACTTTTAGATGAAAAGATTACTTCTGGAAAAATAAAAAGCTAATAAACTATGGTTCTTGTCCATACTTTTTTCCCCTGGTTAGATTCTACCTTCTATAGACTGATCCAGGGCAGTTCTGAAGCATAATTTGGATCTGTGAATTATATTAATATCATAGGTTTGCAGAAATGGGAGTTGTTAAATATTTTGGCTTTTTGTTTATTTGGTTTTTTATCCTCTTTGTTTTTTATTTTTATTTTTTTTTCACTTCTCACTGCTTTTAAATGACTTCCAGCAATCAAAAGAGAAGACGCTGATTGATAGACATGTTTATGCTAGAAATATACTTATTGTTAGTGGGACCAAGAGAAAGGTTGTTTTGCACAGATTTGAACTAAAAAATGTTTAGGTTCACTCAAAAAATGAAACTCATAAGTATGCAGATAATAGAATATATGTATTTTAGTATATAAAATAGATAAATCACATATAAAATAAGCATTAGAATTAAAAGGATTTATACCTCAGAATTGGAATATCTGGAATAATCTATGTAGTCCTAGTAATGTAGATTTTACTTTGTGGATAAATGTAGCTGGATGGAAATTGGGTTTGATTTACTTTGTTTTCCCACTTGCTCAGTATCTGAGATGTATGAGAGAACCAGTGCTCTTAAGAATTGGTATAGTGGATTTTTTTAAAATAGTTTGTTCAAATAAAGATCAGAATAAAGTTCACACATTGCAGTTGGTTGATAGATTTGAATCTCTTTTGGTCTTTAGGCTTCCCCTCCCACACACTGGTTCATACTGTCTTTTCTTGCAGTTTGTTAAAGAAATAAGATCATTTGTCCTGTTTCCCTCAGTTTAGATTTTGCTCACTACATCCTCAGGATGTCATTTTTAAGTGTGTTTCCCTTTCTCTGAAGTCATACATGTGGTTTTCAAACACAGTATGATTGAGGAAAAATCATGCGTGTTATTTTAATTGATGATGCTTAATGTTTGCATCCTCACAGAAATAAAGGCCATGCTCAAGGAAGAAATGGAAATCTTTTTGCAAGTGATCTTGACCTTTTTTATTTAGTCTAGAATGCCCTTAGGAAAAGGTCAGACATGTTCCTAGAACTTTTCTATCAATCAGTAAGTCTGCAGATTAGTAATTTTTATGAAAAATCAATGATTGGCCACAAAATAGTAGCTTATTTTCATCTGGTACACATACATTTGTGTGTGTGTGTGTGTGTGTGTGTCTCCAGGCTTTTTTAAAAGAAAAAACTATGTCAAAATTTTACTTTGCACAATTGTCATTGTCTTAATGGTTTCAGTAAGTTCCTCAGCAGTTTTCTGGAAGAACTATCTTTATGAATAAATTTGTTTAGTTTTAATAAATACACATTGATAGGTATAGTTTCAAATAAATTGTGATAGCTTTGTTGAGGTATAAGTTGCATGCAATACAGTTCATTCATCAGTTCATCACTCATTTTTAGTAAATTTATAGTTTCATTTAGATTTCAGATTTATTACCTTACTCTTATATAGTTTTGTTTTGTTTGTTTTTTTTAATGGAGTTTCACCACATTGTCCAGTATGGTCTCAATCTCCTGACCTCGTGATCCACCCACCTCAGCCTCCCAAATTGCTGGGATTACAGGCATGAGCTGCCATGCCCAGCCGGTCTTACATAAATTCTTATTTGACTACTTGTGTTGTCATTTTTCTCAAGAGTTAATTCAACTTGAAATCAGTTTAAGAATGTTTTGCTTTCTCTATTTTATTTTTTTCCTTTTGTCGTATAAAAGTGCTATTTCTTGAATTGCTAACATTATGTTTTGTTTCATATTCAGAGAAAGATGGCTTCCCTTCTGGAACACCAGCAGTAAGTTAATGATATTTTTTCTTGTAGCTCTTGTTCTGATTTAGGTTACCCAAGACAAATCTCAGTTTTTATTTTGCTTTCTAAAATAGATTACAGCCATCAGAGGTGACTAACTACCCAATAGGTGTTTTTAGCTAGCCACTGATTAGTTGCAGAAGCTATATTAAATAGAAATTCCTTGATATGATATTTAATGTAACTAAAATTTGTAATGACCTTCAGAACTGTTAAGCTGCTTTTGGTAATGTTAACATATACAAACAAGCGTGAATACAAAAAACTTGCTAGCGTATATTTTCCTCTCTTACCTTGCAGTTCTTCTGCTACTATTTTACTGAATACAGACTATGGAAAGGTACTGAACAGTTGAAACTTTCAGTCTTCAGAGTCATCTAAAACTAAGTTATTGCATAAACACAGTCACTTCTTGGAAGTAGTTACTGTTTTATTTGCAGTTCCTCAATTGGGAGGAAACAGTCTCCTTGGAGTTTTATATTATATTTTATTTTATTTATTTTGAGACGGAGTCCTGCTGTGTCACCCAGGCTGGAGTGCAGTGATGTGATCTTGGCTTACTGCAACCTCTGCCTCTTGGGTTCGAGCAATTCTCCTGCTCTAGCCTCCTGAGTAGCTGGGATTACAGGTGCATGCCACCACGCCCAGCTAATTTTTTTGTACTTTTAATAAAGATGGGGTTTGACCATGTTGGACAGGCTGGTCTTAACCTCTTGACCTCAGGTGATCCACACCTTGGCCTCCCAAAGTGCTGGGATTACAGGCGTGAGCCACTGCGCCTGGCCAAATCTGACTATTTTAAATATCACCAAATGACTCTGACATGCAAAGCCCTAGAGGATCTTTGATTTTGGTCTTAACAAATAATATTGTTTACTTAGTTTATTACTAAGGGTAAATTATACTTTATTTAAAATATTTGGTATTCAACATATATGTTTCATAAACTTTTTCATAATGTTAGATTATAATTCTGTTCAGTTATATAAATATGAGCTAATGAGGTTTAATGGTTTTGAAATGAGCTATCAAAGAAGTAAACTTTTTGAAGTATATTCAAAAAGGGAGACAGTCACATATAAGCCTATTTGACTTGTTTGCCTTACTTTGCTCATAATAAATGCAGTTGAATGCCAAGGGATCAGAAACATCAGCAGTAGTGACAGAGGAAGATGATGATGACGAAGAAACTGCTCCTCCTGTTATTGCCCCACGACCAGATCATACAAAATCAGTGAGTGTTGATCAGTGAACTAGGCTGTGTGTTTGTGCATGTGTGTTTTAAAAAACAGCAGTCTGTATTTGACTTACAGTGATTGGTTTTAAAAAGTCCTCAAGTTTATGGGCCGGGTGCGGTGGCTCAAGCCTGTAATCCCAGCACTTTGGGAGGACGAGGCGGGTGGATCACGAGGTCAAGAGATTGAGACCATCCTGGTCCACATGGTGAAACCCCATGTCTACTAAAAATACAAAAAATTAGCTTGGCACGGTGGCACGTGCCTGTAATCTCAGCTACTCAGGAGGCTGAGGCAGGAGAATTGCCTGAACCCAGGAGGTGAAGGTTGCAGGGAGCCGAGATCGCGCCATTGCACTCCAGCCTGGGTAACAAGAGCGAAACTCCATCTCAAAAAAAAAAAAAAAATCCTCAAGTTTAAAATAATTTAGTATGGGGAAGTTTAAGAGATCTGTAATCAAAGAACACTCACCAAAAACTAGTTTTTTGAAGATTAAAATGTGATGTGTCTTTAAAAGTTAACATACTGGCCAGGCTCAGTGGCTTACACCTGTAATCCCAGCACTTTGGGAGGCCAAGGCGGGCAGATCACCTGAAGTCAGGAGTTCGAGACCAGCCTGGCCAACATGGTGAAACCCCGTCTCTATTAAAAATACTAAAAAAAAAAAAGTTAACATACTTACCTCACTGGGCTTTTTTCTTTTTATAGTACATCTTTTCCAAAGGGTTCATCTGTTTCCTAAGCTTACTCTGTTTATCTCAATGTAGATAACTACTAAATCTAATACTTAGATCTTTCCTCTTACCTAGATTATGCATTTTAATCTCCCATTTCACACTTCTCTCAAAGCCTTGATGTCATTCAAAAGGCAATTGAGAATGAAATTCCTAACCAGGTAAGGGAGAATTTTTTAAATGATGACCTTGAATGGAGCCAAGAAAAGAGGAATGACTGCAACTGCCATTCTGCTCCCTGCACTAATATAAGTAGAGTGTGGGGAAGGTGTTATGCCAGGGGGTGGAATGTGCTCATGGCACCATAGGCAGGCAGAGCCCTGAGGACTGCCTCTGGATGCTGAGCTGATGGCAGAGGACTCCATTTTTTTAGCTGTTAGACCTGGCTGTTTGAAATGAAATGGGTGGTAGGCATTATAATTGTTTACAAATTTTCGGGGGAATTAATAATAGTTCTTTCAACATCAAGGTTTCTGTTATTTTGCATTTTAATTACATTTGTAATAAAAACGTTTTAAACTGTGCTTTTTGATACGTTGTTACATCATTTTAGATCTTCACATACTTAAATTTCATTCATGGACTTGCTGTTTTGCTAGACAACTTTTCAAATGTATACATGCTATGACAAAAATGTTTCACATTTATTCTTAGTTACACATCTCTTATATCTGAAAATAGTGTTCTTATAATTTAGAACAGTGGAAAAGAGAACTTAGTTCAGGTTAAACATCAAAGAACTGAATAGTGTGCCAGCAAGAATATCTGAAAACGTTATTCCTCAAACCTTAGTAATGAACTGTATCTCCACAGATTTACACACGGTCTGTAATTGACCCTGTTCCTGCACCAGTTGGTGATTCAAATGTTGATGGTGGTGCCAAGTCTTCAGACAAACAGAAAAAGAAGACTAAGATGACAGATGAAGAGATTATGGAGAAATTAAGTATGTTATCTACATTTTACATCGTTGTTAAATTGTTAACAGCTCTTAAACCATTTGGCCCAGGTGGATTTGAACTTAGACCTTACATTGTGACTTAAAGTATAAACAGATTGTTTTCTTATAGCAACAATAGCTTCAGTTATAATCTAATGATGTCACTGGGTGCTGTGGCTCACACCTGCAATCCCAGAACTTTGGGAGGCTGGGGCGGGGAGGGGGGAGTGGATCACCTGAGGTCAGGCGTTTGAGACCAGCCTAGCCAACATGGTGAAACCTCATCTCTACTAAAAATATAAAAATGAGCCAAGTGTGGTGGCACGTGCCTATAATCCCAGGTACTTGGAGGCTGAGGCAGGAGACTCACTTGAACCCAGGAGGTGGACGTTGCAGTGAGCCAAGATTGTGCCACTGGGCCAGGTACAGTGGCTCACGTCTGTAATCATGGCATTTGTGGAGGCCGAGGTGGGTGGATCATGAGGTCAAGAGATCAAGACCATCCTGGCCAACATGGTGAAACCCTGCCTCTACTAAAACCACAAAAATTAGCTGGCCATGGTGGTGCACACCTGTAGTCCCAGCTACTCGGGAGGCTAAGGCAGGAGAGTCACTTGAACCTGGGAGTCGGAGCTTGCAGTGAGCCAAGATCATCCCACTGCACTCCAGCCTGGCAACAGAGCAAGACTCCATCTCAAAAACAAACAGAAAATACAAAGAATGCTTACTGGCCAGGCGCTTCGGCTCACACCTGTAACCCCAGCACTTTGGGAGGCCAAGGTGGGTGGATCACTTGAGGGACTTGAAGTCAGGAGCAAGACCAGCCTGGCCAATATAGCAAAACCTTCTCTACTAAAAACACAAAAATTAGCCAGGCATCATGGCAGGCACCTATAATCCCAGCTACTGGTGGGGCTGAGGCAGGAGAATTGCTTGAACCTGGGAGGCAGAGATTTCAGTAAGCCGAGATCGTGCCACTGCACTTTAGCCTGAGTGACAGAGTGAGACTCAGTCTCAAAAAATAATAATAAATCAAAAATAATAATTAAAAGAATATTAATCTAGCGGGATCAAGGAAAAATACTTTATGGAAGGATTGTTTTAAGCATTTAGGCTGGGCATAGTGGCTCAAACCTGTAATCTCAGTACACTGGCTGCCCAAGATAGCATAGCTTGAGTCCAGGAGTTCAAGGCCAAACTGTACAACTTAATGAGACCCTGTCTCTACCTTAAAAAAAAAAAAATAATAACCAGGCATGGTGGTGTGTATTCCCAGCTAACAGGGAGCCTGAGGCAGGAGGATTGCTTGAGTTCAAGGATGTAGTAAGCTGTGATTGTGCCACCGTACTCCAGCCTGGGTGACAGAGTAAGACCCTGTCTCTAAAAAATAAACAATCATTTATATGCCCTAGGTTTATTTGCTTTTGATTTATCAGTGCTTTCAAGTATAAACCTGGCTTTTACTCTTATTCTTTTTTTTTTTTTTTTGAGACAGTTTCACTCTGTCTCGAGGCTAGAGTGCAATGGCGCAATCTCAGCTCACTGCAACCTCTGCCTCCTGGGTTAAAGCAATTTTCCTGCCTCAGCCTCCTGAGTATCTGGGACTACAGGTGCCCACCACCACACCCAGCTAGTTTTTGTATTTTTAGTAGAGATGGGGTTCCACCATGTTGGCCAGGCTGGTCTCAAACTCCTGACCTCAAGCGTGAGCCACCACACCAAGCCTACTCTGTTACTCTATGGGCATATAGGAATTCTTGTAGGAGAGCTGCTACTTAAAAAAAAAAAAAAAAAAAAAAAAAGATTAACTAGAATCCTAATTGTCGTCATTCATTTGTCACTTTTAGCTATCACATCCCCAGGCTTTTTGATATCTTTTTGCTCTTAGTCTCTTATTGTGGATCCTGTTCCTTTGCTTATTGACTTGAGGTTGGATACCTACATAAAATTATTTATGTGAGTTTCCTTGATATGGTCCTATCCTTTTTACCTTGAGCAAGTGAAAGTTTAGTGTGATTTTTCTTACATTTTGACTACTAGTAATAATATAAATTATGATTTTATGTTCAGCTTTCTAATTTTAAAACTTGTTTCTTGTGACTTTGAACTTTCCTAAAACTACCATATGATTAGTTTATGTTAGAGCATAGTAATCTTTATGGTAGTAAGTGGTTTTCTAAATATATTGAAAGATAGATGATATATATACTGGAAGAGTCAGAAAGACCATTTAGGGTTTAGATAGCCCTTATTATTTCTAATACTAAGTAGTTTCAAACTTACCTATTAACAGATATGTTAAAATATATCTATTAATATATTTCAGTCTTATAGGAAAATAGAGTGACCAGCTTGTCAATTTTCTTGAGATTACCTGATTCTAAAGCTGAACATCCGAGAACCTAATTAATCTCTGGCAAACTGGTGCAGTCTTTCCAAACTGTGACCATTATTGAGTAAATTAGTTAGGAGGTCTAACCTAATGGAAATAATGTGTCTTCTTGTTTCTGATACTTTTAAACTTTTATTATGTATTTATGTTTCTTTAGTGTTTTGTGTTTAAAACATGTTATTTTTGAAACTTAGTGTTATGTTTGAAAACCACATATGAAAAAGTGGAGTTTATCAAAAGGAATAATAATATCAAAATTAATTTACACTTAAAATGCTTGACTGAGCTTCCAGCTTTTTGTTTATTCTAGGAACTATTGTGAGCATAGGTGACCCTAAGAAAAAATATACAAGATATGAAAAAATTGGACAAGGGTAAGTATTTGTGACTGTGTTACCATAATATTCATTCTTGGCTTTATAACATGATATTTCTTTTTCCTGCTGACATTGAGCACTTATAGTATTCTGTGAGCAGTACCCTTGGGGATTTGTGTAAATAAATAATGCAGTTATTTCTAGATGCTATTAAAAAACTGTGCTAGTTGTTAGCAGTGACTGTATATCTTTTTTTTTTTCTTAAATGACGTTTCTCATTCATGGTAAAGGATTGGTTAGAGGGAAGAATTGTCCATAAAATATATTTAAAAGACAGTAAGAATATTTACTGCAGGATTATATGCAATTAAAAAGGTGCATTTCAATCATGTCCTTGAGTATTGACTTTTGAGTCTACTGGTCTGATTTTGTTCTGTAGTTTGTATTTTTTAAGTGTACTGACTAAACGTTTTTCTGTTGCTTGGAAGCAAATAAACACTTTAGATTTTTAATGTTATTAAACTCTGGAAAGCATTCTGTGAATTTAGAGTGAGTGCCGAAGGTATTTTTGAAAACTTCGATTTGAGTTTTTCTTTTTTTTTTTCTTTTTTGAATTGGAGTCTCACTCTGTCACCCAGGCCGGAATGCAGTGGCACCATCTTGGCTCACTGCAACCTCAGCCTCCCAATGTGTTAGGATTACAGGTGTGAGCCACAGCACCAGACTTGAATTTCTTCCTAACAGCTAAATTCAATTTCAGCACTGGTTTTTGTTTTGTTTTGTTTTAAGGAGAATTGAAGGTTATCCTAATATTTTTGAGTATTAATGAACAAGCAATGCCCTGCCATATGGATGGCCATCACAAATCCAGTGTTGAGTAACAAAAGCAAATTGCAGAATAATATGTGAAATGAAACTATATGACATTTAAAAATTAGGCAAAGTATATTTTATAGGGATACATACCTGTGTCCTTTGTAGTTAAAAGTATGGAGAAATGCATGGAAATGATGAACGTCAAATACAGGATAAACACCAAATACAGATCACCTTTGGGTGGAAAGAGGCTGCTATTGGAAAGGGCACATGAGAATCTTCAAATTATTTATAGTTTTGGTATCTTAAACAGGGAAGTATTTAAGTATATGTTATATATTTTTTTCTTGCTCTTTTTTCTCTACATTTTTATAGGTCTTAAATATTTCAGACATAAGTTTTGGCCATAAGGAGTGCTTCTTTCTTTTCCCCCCATCCCTTTCCTTATGTTTTTGCTTTTACTCCTTTTAAGCACATTAGGTCTCAACTGTTCTTTAATTCTTTTTTAATTGCTTGAAGTGTAAAGTCTTTGGATATTGTAAATGCTAGTGATTTATAAACCTTAAATCTGGTTGTGTGTTTTCTCCCATAGGGCTTCTGGTACAGTTTTCACTGCTACTGATGTTGCATTGGGACAGGAGGTAGCTACTTTGTCATACTTCTGGATGTTACCATTATTTTGTCATATAGGTGGAAACTAGATAAAGCTGAGAAGAATCAATAGGAATCTCTTAAGTTGAACATGTTGTAAGAATTGCTCTATGTATTTATAGCACTTCTGTCATTAAGGAGAACAAAGAATTGTGAGTTTAATGTCATAAACAAGCAAATATTTAACAATTGTTTTATCAGCTTGAAGTGAAAAGAGGATTAATTCTTAGTGCTGGATTGACTGTGGGTGGATTAATCAAGAGAAATCTAAAAATGTTTAGGCTCTATACATTCCAAAGCATTGTGCATAGGCAGTTTTGAAGTAAAAGTACTAGCTCTGAGTAATAGTATTGTATTGTGTAATACAACGTATGTACCATAAATTAAATTATTAACTGGCTGGTGTTTGTAATTTTCTAAGAGAATTCATAGGCCTGATTTTTTTCAATTCTGTTTTTATTATAGGTTGCTATCAAACAGATTAATTTACAGAAACAGCCAAAGAAGGAATTGATCATTAATGAGATTCTGGTGATGAAAGAATTAAAAAATCCCAACATAGTTAACTTCTTGGACAGGTAAACATGAATATTTCTTAAACATTGGAATAAAAGTGTAGACATTTTATATCCCATGGTTTGAAGGGTTAGCCACTTCAGAAGAAACTGTCAGTGCTGAGAAATAAGATTGAAGAAGGAAGAGGACAAGTAAAAATAACACATTGCAGTTTTAGAAGGTTTTTTCTCTACAAAGTTATTACTTGGCAAGTGAGAGAAGGCAGTTAAATGAGGGCCATAGCTGGTGGTGTTTATATTCATTGCAAATGACCTGAAGCGAAAACAAGAATGGTTGGCTGTGATTCATGTTTTGATTATCAGAGAGGACTGGTCAAAACTTGTAGATAAATTTTTATTTCAAATGCTATCCTTCGTGGACAAATTGTCTATCTATCAAAACCTCATTTAGCTTAGGAATTCATGTTAAACAACAGACCAAAAAGAATAGAAAATGATGTATATTGGCCAGATGTAGTGGCTCACACATGTAATCCCAGCTACTCAGGAGGCTGAGGAAGGAGAATCACTTGAATCCAGGAGGCGAAGTTGCAGTGAGCTGAGATCACACCACTGTACTCCAGCCTGGGCAACAGAATGAGACTCCATCACACACACACAAAAAGAAAATGGTGTATATTATTACAGCTGCTTTTTAAAAACCAGTTACATACACAAATGAGAGAAGATTACTTGAAAATGATAACCGTGGTTTCATTGAAGATAGAGGTGATTATAAGTGATTTTCTTCCATATTTAAATTTGTTTAGAATGAGGAAAAGTAATAGTTTCAAGACTTTAGTCCTAGTTATGGGGAACATGTTCATAGAAATGAACTTTTTAAGTACAGTTCCCTGCTTTTTAAAATAATATTTCAAGTCAACATAGTGTGGTGGTTAAGATAAGTCATGGGATTTGGAATCACTGATACTTGGCTTCAGATTCTTGTTTTGTCACTTACTATTAATAGCTATGTTACCTTGGATGAGTCATTTAACCTTTTCAAGCCTTTGTCTCTTTACCTCTAAAACAGGACAAGTAATTTCTGTATTGTAGGATTATTTTACTCGAATGATCTCTGTGCATACTCAAACTACAATTGTGGGCAAACTATAACTTTAAAGTGATTCAGGATCATAACCTCAGTTATTTTTCTGTGCTGTTACATAGCAGCTTTCCAGTTTTCTTCTAACTCTCAAGCTACCAGCTATCTGGTTTTATTATTAGGGTATTTAATATCTGAATTCTTCAACATAGAATACTATGTGTTTAGAAAAAATAAAAGTGTGACTATTTGGTATGTTCTTTTTTTAGTTACCTGGTAGGAGATGAATTGTTTGTGGTAATGGAGTACCTTGCTGGTGGGTCACTTACTGATGTTGTAACAGAAACCTGCATGGATGAAGCACAGATTGCTGCTGTATGCAGAGAGGTAGGTTTGCTTCCTTCTTGATATGTTAGAGCGATATGTGGTTAGCAAGAAGTGAGCAAATGGAAATTTTCCTGCACAGGTGATTGTTATTGTGGGAAGTGCTTTCTCTGTACACATTCTCTGCAAGTTACTCCATCTTCATACCATTTCATTCTACACAAGCATTTCAGCCCTTTCCTTCAGGTATAAAATAATTTGGAGGCCGGGCATGGTGGCTCACGCCTGTAATCCCAACACTTTGGGAGGCCAAGGCAGGTGGATCACAAGCCAGGAGATTGACACCATCCTGGCTAACATGCTGAAACTCTGTCTCTAGTAGAAATATAAAAAATTTAGCTGGGCATGGTGGCACTCACTTATAGTCCCAGGTCAAAAGGCTGAGGCAGGAGAATCTCTTGAACCCAGGAGACAGAGGTTGCAGTGAGCTGAGATCACACCACTGCACTCCAGCCTGAGTGACAGAGCAAGACTCCGTCTCAAAAAAAAAAGAGAGAATTTGGGAATGAATTGTGGACCTTTGAAGATCTATTCACAGGGAAATTCTGGTAGAGTGATGATGAACATTTACTATCCAAACCGGACACTTTTGAGATTAAAAAGGCATACCATTAGAAATACACCTCTCAGCTGAAAGCAGTGGCTCGTGCCTGTAATCCCAGCACTTTGGGAGGGTGGATTGCCTGAGGTTAGGAGTTCAAGACCAACATAGTGAAACCCCATCTCTACTAAAAATACAAAAATTAGCTGGGCATGGTGGCATGCACCTATAATCCCAGCTACTTGGGAGGCTGAGGCAGGAGAATTGCTTGAGCCAGGGATATGGAGGTTGCAGTGAGCCAAGATTGCACTATTGCACTTTAGCCTGGTGACAGAGTGAGACTCCATCTCAGGAAAAAAAAAAAAAAAAAAAAAAAAGGCCAGGCACGGTGGCTCTTGTCTGTTATCCCAGTACAGCACTTTGGGAGGCCAAGGCAGGCAGATCACGAGGTCAAGAGATTGAGACCATCCAGGCCAACATGGTGAAACCCCATCTCTACTGAAAATAGGAAAATTAGCTGGGCATGGTGGTGGGCACCTGTAGTCCCAGGTACTCAGAAGGCTGAGGCAGGAGAATCACTTGAACCCGGGAGGTGGAGATTGCAGTAGGCCGAGATGGCACCACCGCACTCCAGCCTGGCGACAGAGTAAGACTCTGTCTCCAAACACAAAATAGAAATACACAACTCAATAGTGGAAGCTAGAACTATCTCAGGTGTGACACATATTCACCTTAAGTATCAGTAAGTCTGTGTCTGCCTTCATTGATTTCACTAATGGTGATAAAACTGGTCATTTCTTTATATTAATGAATATCTAGACATACTGTTAGCTTAAGCCAGTAGGATTCTGCCAAGTTGCCAATTTAAGCCAAAATAAGCCTTCGTTTTTCCACCTATATCTAAGCTTTTTCTACAGATGAGATTTGAGCTAATGATTTGCTTGTTGTCATTGAAATCTCTAATAGCATAGGAATCACTGTCACAAAGGGCAAATTTTTAATTTATAAGACTATATTGTGTTTTCTGTGATTTGGCTTTCAATAGTTCTTCAGTGACACATAAGTAATTTACAAACTTTGTTCTTGTAAGGACAATACATATGTATTTCCCTTTTCTATCTTTCATTAAGGTGTTAAAAATATTCTTTGAAAATTTTAATTCTGAGTTGTATTCTAACTGAGGAATAGTAACTCTTTGGTTTAAGGGAGGAAATAACTCTTGAATGGAGTGTTAGTAAAATATATTCCTTAGCAATGGATGCTTGGTCACTGAAAAGCTGATAAAAAACAAGAATTTACCTATTTATACTTAATTTTGTTTTTTCTAATACATTTCTTTGTAATTGATACAAAAATTAATTTTGGGAGTTCCTCTAATTACCATTCGCTTGGGTTTTCTTTTGTGTGCCAGAACTTTTTAATTGTGAGAAGTTTGTTTCTATTTATTTGTACAAGTATTTTTCTGGAGCTTTGAATCTGATTATTGCCTGATAAATGTAATGTGGTAATACCCAATTTGTTTTCCTTGAATGACTAGTAGAAGATTTTGGATGAGATTTTTAGTTGTACAGACTTTGTTCTACTCTGATGGGAGTAAGAAATAAAAGCACAGCTAACTTATATCCTTAGTTTATATTCAAAAACACCAGAGTAAGCAGATTATTACTGTTACTATTTTTGAGACGGAGTTTCACTCTTGTTGCCCAGGCTAGAGTGCAATGGCATGATCTTGGCTCACTGCAACCTCCGCCTCCCGGGCTCAAGTGATTCTCCTACCTCAGCCTCCCTAGTAGCTGGGATTACAGGCATGTGCCATCATTGCCTGGCTAATTTTTTGTATTTTTAGTAGAGGCAGGGTTTCTCCATGTTGATCAGGCTGGTCTCGAACTCCCAACCTCAGGTGATCCACCCACTCGGCCTCCCAAAAGTGCGAGGATTACAAGCATGAGCCACTGCGCCCAGCCATAAGCAGATTTTTTAAATGCCATTTCATTCTCAATTTTAAGGAAGGGAGGAGTTTATCCTCACTTTGTGATTCAGTGCTTTCTGAAATATGGCGTAAGAGGAAAGTTATTCTTTAATCATTCATGTCCAAGTTATAGATACAGCTTAATATAAAATCCAGCATAGAAGAACATCTTATCTCTGGTGAACAGCTAAATGGAATCAGGCCACCCAGAATTTTACCCAGTTCTCAGTGGCTCACATTGATTAGCCTTCTGAGTATCTCATATTCAAATGGGAGTGATCACAAGGTTTTTTTCATTACTATTGAAATGATACATATTTTTTCTTTTTTCTTTCTTTCTTTCTTTTTTTTTTATTTTTTTTTTAGACAGGGTCTCACTCTATTGCCCAGGCTGGAGCCCAGTGGTGCGATCTTGGTTCACTGCAACCTCTGCCTCCCAGGTTCATGCAATTCTCCTGCCTCAGCCCCCCAAGTAGCTGGAATTAAAGGCAGTCACCACCATGCCCGGCTAAATTTTTTTGTATTTTTAGTAAGAGATGGCGTTTCACCGTGTTGCTCAGGCTGTTCTTGAACTACTAGCCTTGTGATCTGCCCACCTCAGTCTCCCAAAGTGCTGCAATTACAGGTGTGAGCCATCGCACTGAGCCTGTTGAAATGATTTCTGAAGAGCCTGTGCGTGTTTACCAAGTGTTGTATATCTTTAGGCATTTAAACCTGCAAGAGGCAATAATTTTTTTTTTTGAGACCAAGTCTTGCTCTGTCACCCAGGCGGGAGTGCAGGGGCACGATCTTGGCTCACTGCAAACTCTACCTCCTGCCTTCAAGCGATTCTGCTACTTCAGCCTCTCGAGTAGCTGGGCTTACAGGCATGCACCACCATACCCAGCTAATTTTTTTGTATTTTTAGCAGACACACGATTTTGCCACATTGGCCAGGCCGGTCTCGAACTACTGAACTCAGGGGATCTACCTGCCTTGGCCTCCCAAAGTGCACCCGGCCACACCTAGCTAATTTTTGTATTTTTTAGAGAGACGGGGTTTCACCGTGTTGGCCAGACTGGTCTCAAACTTTTGACCTCAACTGATCTGCCTACCTCACCTGGCCAAGAGGCAAGAAATTATACAGACTCAGCCAAGCAGTATCTCTGAATAACATCAGAAGATAGGAGGGGATCTACTGACTTTTTAAAAAATTTTGTTTTCTTATATAAAACTCTAAGGAGGGGATCTAATTGCTTTTCATAACTTTGTACATAAAAGAGGATTTTTTAATTCTTTGTAAATATAAGTATGGGAGGGTCTTCTGCTGGGTACTAGAAGCAGTACTCAGGCCATAACTACTGCATGTGAACTTTCTTGTGTCTTTTCAGGGACTATTTCATTAATAGGTGTTTTTCTTCTGTTCAGTGTTTACAGGCATTGGAGTTTTTACATGCTAATCAAGTGATCCACAGAGATATCAAAAGTGACAATGTACTTTTGGGAATGGAAGGATCAGTTAAACTTAGTGAGTAACAATTGGACAATTAATAATTATTTATTATGTTCTGCCTTTTGTTTAATTAAAAATTTTTCTTGAGCAATGCAAGGATTAATAATGATTTAATATAGGAAGAGGTGAGACCTTTGAAAACTGAGTGATACTCTGAGGGTTTTAACTAATCAGCGGCAGAGAAAGGACTAGTAAGGACATTATTAAGTAGTGTCTTATCTAGAGGTAAAGAAAGAATATGGACTCTGAACTGGACAGCCTAGGTTTAATTAGCATATCTGCTACTACTTTCTGAATAATTTTAGCCAAAAATATGCCTATTTCAGAGAATTCTTTGGAGGATTAAAATGTAAAGTGCTAAGGAGTAGTGTCTGGGACTGTCGTAATGTTGATGCTGTCTTACAGAGATAAACTTGAGTTTGTTTCTGCCATCTGTTACAGTTTTTCTCACGTTCAGCCTTTAAGTTTTGTACTGCATGGCCTATTCAGAGGAGAGGGGTATATGATCCTGATCCCAGTGATAACAAGGGAAATTAATCCCATTTAAATCACTTTCTCTACTTATCTTCTGTATGTAGAGTTATGAAAAAAAAGTCCCAAGCCTCTCTCCTCTGCTGGCTATAATCTCTACTTGGCTCTGAGAACTAGCCCACTGAAGGATTCAGGAACCCTTACTGAGGTCTCTCAAACTCTATAAAATTCAAGGCACTTCTTGTATCAAGATATCAAAAACTTTTCTTCTGTTCTTCAATACAGTTAGGTTCCTTTTTTAACATCTTTTTTTTTTTTTTAAACTACATACTCCAAAAGTTATTCAATCACGGCTGGGTGTGGTGGCTCATGCCTGGAATCCCAGTATTTTTGGAGGCTGAGGCAGGTGGATCACCTGAGTTCAGGAGCTTGAGACCAGCCTGGCCAACATGGCGAAACCCCATCTCTACTAAAAATACAAAAATTAGCCAGGCATGGTGGTACACACCTGTAATCACAGCTACTCAAGGAGGCTGAGGCAGGAGAATTGCTTGAACGTGGGAGATGGAGGTTGCAGTGAGCCCAAGATCATGCCACTGCACTCCAGCTTGGCCAACAGAGCAAAACTCTGTCTCAAAAAAAAAAAAGGTTACTCAATCAGATGGTCAGAATATAAGATTGCATATGTGTATGTGTGTGATGGAGTTTTGCTCTTGTTGCCCAGGCTGGAGTGCAATGGCTCAATCTCACCTTACTGCAACCTTTGCCTCCTGGGTTCAAGCAATTCTCCTGCCGAAGCCTCCCAGGTAGCTGGGATTTTAGGCACCTGCCACCACGCCTGGCTAATTTTTATTTTTAGTAGATCCATGTTGATCAGGCTGGTTGCGAACTTCCAACCTCAGGTGATCCTCCCACCTTGGCCTCCCAAGGTGCTGGGGTTACAGCCATGAGCCACCATGCCCGGCTATGGTTTTTTTTGTTTTATTGAGACAGAGTCTCTCTCTGTCACCCAAGCTGCAGTGCAGTGGTGCGATCTTGACTCACTGCAACCTCTGCCTCCCATGTTCAAGCAGTTCTCCTGCCTCAGCCTCCTGAGTAGCTGGCATTACAGGTGCATGCCACCACGCTTGGCTAATTTTTTTGTATTTTTAGTAAAGACGGGGTTTGACCATGTTGGTCAGACTGATCTTGAACACCTGACCTTGTAAACCACTCGTCTCAGCCTCCCAAAATGCTGGGATTACAGGCATAAGCCACCGCGCCCAGCCATTATTGCATATTTTTAAGTAAACTTAATGGGGAAGCTCTCATAGATTTTTGGTGAATACACATAAAATTGAATCAAAGTTTTGGATGACTTTTTTTTTTTTTTTTTTTTGGCCCTGCCATTTACTAGGTGAATAACTTGGATAAGTTATCTTTATAGGTATGCTTCAGTTTCCCTATTTGTAAAATGGGAATAATTGTAATAATAAAGGTACCTATCTCATAGGGTTACCATGAAGATTAAATATTTTAATTCTTATAAGGTACTTAAACAGTACCTGGCTTGTTTTAAATACTGATTTTAGCTAGAAGTATTATTTGACCTAACAGTTACTCTCTTAGAATTCTGTCCTATGCAATTATTGATCTTACATACCACAGTAAGTACAAGGATGCTGTCTGCAACATTGTAAAGAAAAATCAAAGCTATCAAAGTGTTGAGCAGTAAGGGAATAATTAAACAAATTAACATATTTTTATATTCTGTATAGTTTTTAAGATGAGGCAGGCCTGGTGCGGTGACTCACCTATAATCCAAGCACTTTGGGAGGCCGAGGCAGGTGGATTGCTTGAGCCCAAGAGTTCCAGACCTGACTGAGTGACATGGCGAGACTCCATCTCTGCTAAAAATACAACAGTTAGCTGAGCATGGTGACAGGCACCTCTAGTCCCAGCTGCTCGGGAGACTGAGGCAGGAGGATGGCTTGAGCACAGAGGCATAGGTTGCAGTGAGCCAAAACTCAGCATGAGTGACTGAGTGAAACCCTGTGGCAAAAACTATAAAAATAAAAATGTAAATAGGCAAATAAATGTACTGATATGGGAAGATCTCTTTAAATATTGTTTTACAAAACAGTTTACAGAATATCCTAATTGGGTCATATAAACCAAAGAGTTCATAGATGTTCATACATATATACATAGATAACAAACAGTCTAAAGCTTACAAACCTAAATGTTAACATATGGAATAAAATGGTTTCAACAGTATAAGAAAGAATTCTAAATACCAATCCTGACTTTAGCACTAAATTAACATTGGGTACTATACTAGGCATCTACACCTCCATTACAAATGAGATGGTTGAGAAGATAATGCTGGTGATGATCTTACCACTTGTTGCAGTTCAGTGTGTTCTTTTTCTAGGCCCTCTGCTGAGATGGATGTTTAGTGATTCTAGCTTCTGTTTGTTTTATTCCAGACTAGTTTACAGCTGGGTGTGGTGGCTGACACTTGCAGTCCCAACACTTTGGGAGGCCAGGGTGGGAAGATCACTCCCTGTGTTGCCCAGGAGTTAAGACCAGCCTAGGCAACATAGGGAAACTCTATCTCTACAAAAAAATTGTAAAATTAAAATTAAAAAGACAAAGTAGTTTCCACATCCTGACCTTTGTCTGATTCACTGCATTTAGTTTTGGTGTCTACCTTTGCTTTAATTTTTCTTAGGCCTCTTTCAATTGTATTGAATTTTTTAGGATAGAATGAATTACTCAGAATAAAAGGCCTCCTGGTAATTTGGGCTCTGCTTGTGGCAAATAAAAGTAAAATGTGAGAGAATGTTGCATCACAAAAATATTTTGAACTCATTCTGATTTACTTTATTAATAAAATCTTTAAAAACAAGAGGCTGAATAGTCAAAATATAATTAATTACGTCATCTGAAATGAACTCTTTAGCTAAAAGCATCCATGGAAACCATTAACTCTGGCTGTTTTGTTTTGTTTTGTAGCTGACTTTGGTTTCTGTGCCCAGATCACTCCTGAGCAGAGCAAACGCAGTACCATGGTCGGAACACCATATTGGATGGCACCAGAGGTGGTTACACGGAAAGCTTACGGCCCTAAAGTTGATATATGGTCTCTGGGTATCATGGCTATTGAGATGGTAGAAGGAGAGCCTCCATACCTCAATGAAAATCCCTTGAGGGTAAGAACAATTAAACACCAGCCTTGTTAAGTATTTTTCTTTAGAACACTTATTTAGAATTTGCATGTGCCAGGCACTGTCCAAGAATTTAAGCTAAAAAATTGATAAAACCTAGTTTCTGCCCCTAACGCCACATCTAAAAATCATTTGCTCTCTGATTTATGTAGTTAATGTGTTAGATAAGAATTTGTAGGTTTTTAATAGTTAGTAGTAAGCTGTGTTGTTTTGTATTTTACATATGAAGTTTGGAGCACCTCTCTGTCTCTAAATCTTCTCCTCCTTTTATTTTACTTTTTTATTTTTTGAGACAGGGTCCCACTCTGTCGCCCAGGCTAGAGTACAATGGCGCAATCTCGGCTCACTGCAGCCTCCACCTCCCGGGTTCAAGGGATCCTCCCACCTCAGCCTCCTGAGTAGCTAGGACTATGGGCATGCGCCACCACACCAAACTAATTTTTGTATTTTTCATAGAAATGGGGTTTTGCCATGTTGGCCAGGATGGTCTCAAACTCGACCTCATTTGATCCACCCGCCTTGACCTCCCAGGGTACTGGCATTATAGGTGTGAGCCACCATGCCCAGCCACTTCTCCTTCTTCTAAATTACCATCTGTGGCTCAACATTATCAGTTATTAAGGAAATATAAATAAAAACCTCAACAATCAGAGGCTGAGGCAAAAGAATTGCTTGAACCTGGGAGGTATCAGTGCGGTGAGCCAAGAAGGCACCACTGCACTCCAGCCTGGGTGACAGAGTAAGATTCCATCTCAAAACAAAAACAAAAACAAAAACAAAAACAAAAACAAACCAAAAAACCCACCTCCACAAAATAACACTTCAGAATGGCTATAGTAAAAAGGACAGTAATAAATGTTGGAGAGAATATAAAGAAACTGGAACCCTCGTTCATTGCAAAATATAAAATGGTATATCTGCTTTGGAAAACAATTTGACAATTCTGTATGAAGTTAATACTGAATTACCAAATGACCCAGCAGTTCTCTGTTGGGTACAAAGCCAAAAGAATTAAAAGCATACATTCATATAAAAACCTGCATGCAATCTGAATTATTTCCACTAAAATAATTCAAACCTGGTAAACAGTGGAATATGATTTGGTCATAGAAAGGAAAGAAGTGCCAATATGTGTTACAGCATTGAACCCTGAAAGTATTATGCCAAGTGAAAGAAGCCAAACAGCAGATGGCATTAGGTTTGGCCCTCTGTTTCCTGAATGCCTCCATCCCATTGCCAAATATTCCGGTTTATGTGGGCACTTAAAGTACTTCTACAGAGGTGATTAACTTAGACCACTTTTCAGAACAATGTTTAAAGCCGTCTAATTTCTTTCATTCATTTAGCCAGTACTGATTTGAATACCTGCCATGTGCTAAGTACAGCACTTTGAATAGTGCTTAGTACATGGCAGGTATTCAAATCAATACTGGCTAAAAGAACCCATAAAAATTCTTTATATTCTAGTGGAAGAAGAGAGGAAAAGAAAATAAATCAGAATAATTTATAATATATTAAATAATGGGCTCTCAAGTGCTGAGACTGGCAGGAAAGAGATTAGGGTGTTTACTTTCAAAAAGTGCTTGGAGAGGTGGGCACAGTGGCTCATGCCTGTAATCCCAGCATTTTGGGAGGCCAAGGCAGGAGGATTGCTTGAGCCTAGGAGTTAAAGGCCAGCCTAGGCAACATAGTGAGACCCTCGTCTCTACAAAAAATTTAGATATTAGCCAAGCATGGTAGTGTGTGCCTGTAGTCACAGCTAATTGGGACTGTCCTGCCTCAGCCGGTGGGTCTCTTGGGCCCAAGGAAGATAAGGTTGCAGTGAGTTCCTGTCATATCACTGCACTCCATCTTGGGTGACAGCTAGGCCCTGTCAAAAAAATACAATAAAAATAAATTATCAAATTAAAAGAGCGCATAGGGAGGGCTTTACTGAAGTGACAGTTGGACACAGGAAGTAAGAGAGCGATACTTACCTAAGGGAAAAGCATTCTAAGCAGAACACACAGCAAGTGCAGAAGCCCTAAAGCAGGAGTGTTCCTGGTGTTTTCAGAGATCATGCAGGACTGCAGCATAGCTGGAGCACACTGAGCAGACAGCAAGAGATGTGGTCCATCTGAAGAAACCAGGCCAGACTGTTGTGCCTTCTAAGACCTTTGAAAGGATTCTGGCTCTTACTTGAGGCCTAATGGAGAAACTGTTAGAGAGTTTTGAGCAGAGGAGTAAATTGTTCTTCTTAGGTTTTAATAGGATTGCTCTGGCTACTTTGTTGAGAGATTCTTGAGGAAGGCAGAGGCAGAGCAGAAGACCAGTTAGGAGGCTGATGTAATAATTCAGGCAAGCAGTGATGATAGCCTAGACCAGGACAGTATCAGTGGAGGTGGTAAAAAGTGATGTGATTCTGGATGTATTATGAGAGAAAAGACAACAGAATCTGTTCTCAAGTAACTTAACTGCATTCTTGTACAAAGCTAAAGAATATTTTCAAGGCTGCACCCACAGCCAGGAGTGTGCTCAGGCTTCAGAACACCTTGGGCTAGGCAAGGTGGCTCATGCCTGTAATCCCAGGACTTTGGGAGGCCAAGGTTGGGGGATCACTTGAGGTCAGGAATTCGTGACCAGCCTAACATGGTGAAACCTCATCTCTACTAAAAATACAAAAATTAGCCAGGGGTAGTGGCACATGCCTGTATTCCCAGCTACTCGGGAGGCTGAGGTGGGAGAATCGCTTGAAGGGTGACAGAGGTTCTCTCTCAAAAAAAAAAATCTCCCTTGGCCCACAAGCATATGGGCATAACTGCAAATGCACAAATGTCAGAAAGAACCTGGATGAGGAAGATGAGAATTCTGCCCTGGCTGCTAAGAAGACACTGAATCTACGAAGATTGACCTTCACATGTATCAGAGCCGGTATATGAAGTAAAGGGGAACGTGTTTAAAAACAAGCAGATTCTTCAGAACTCATTCCAAGCTGAAGATAGACAAGGCCTCATGAAGCTTCTGGTTGACCAGGCCAGGGCACATGGGTCTAAGACCAAAAAAGCCCTGTAGTTCCATGAAGAGTACCTCTGGGCCTAGAAGGAGAAAATCATTAAGACTGTCCCAGGAGGAAAAAAACTGTGAAATAAAGGTAGCCCTCTCGTCTGTACATGTGGTTCTAGGTAATTACATAGATCAGTCATTAAAATAAAACAAGACTTTATCTGCCTGATGGAATGGGGGAAGAATATCTGTAGGAATATAGGAATAGCCAGGACCCAGCAAGCACCCAGACATCCAGTCAAAGTTTACCAGACAGGCAAAGGAGCGGGAAAATGCAGCCCATGATGAGAAATCCAGTTTGAGACCAGCCTGACCAACATGGTGAAATCCTGCCTCTACTAAAAATATAACACTTAGCCAGGTGTGGTGGCACACACCTGTAATGCCAGCTACTCAGGAGGCTGAGGCAGGAGAATTGCTTGAACCCAGAAGGCAGAGGTTGCAGTGAGCTGAGATCGCAATACTGCACTTCGGCCTGGGCAACAGAGCCAGACTGTGTCTCAAAAGAAAAGTAAATAAATAATAATAATTCAATTTCTAGAAATGTAAGGATTTTCTAAAGGGAGTTTATTAAATTAGAAAACATTCATATAAGGCAATATTTACTTAAGTCATTACAGTAATTTTATAGATCTAGGTAGTTACTAGTAATGATGACCTGGGATATATTTGGTTTTTGGTTTTTGTTTTTGAGACAGAATCTCACTCTGTCACGCAGGCTGGAGTGCAGTGGCATAACCTCAGCTCACTGCAACCTCAGCCTCCCAGGTTCAAGGGATTCTCCTGCTTCACTCTCCCAAGTAGCTGGGATTACAGATGCACACCACCATGCCCAACTAATTTTTTTTGCATTTTTAGGAGAAACAGGGTTTCACTATGTTGGCCAGGCTGGTCTCAAACTTCTGACCTCAAGTAATCTGCCCTCCTCGGCCTCCCAAAGTGCTGGGATTACAGGCATGAGCCACTGTGCCTGGCCTTAATCTCATTGTTTTAAATGATATGTATGACTTGATAAAAAATGGAGAAAACTGAACGGGATCGTCAATGGTGAGATTGTGGTTATTTTTAATTATTAACATTGCTTTATGTTTTTTAAAGCAATATAGGCCAGGCACAGTGGCTCACCCCTGTAATCCTAGCACTTCGGGAGGCTGAGGCAGGAGAGTCACTTGAACCCAGGAGGCAGAGGTTGCAGTGAGTCAAGATTGCACCACTGCACTCCAGCCTGTGTGACAGAGTAAGACTCTGTCTCAATAAAACAAAAGCAATGTGTATTGCATTTATAACCAAAAAAAAAGGTGAATCTGATTTTGGAAAAACAACTTCAGGAAGAGGAAAGTATCAAATCTAAATTTAAATGCGATAATGATAACCCCAGTTTAGTATTTATGGAGATCTTTAAAGAAGAAAGAGGTCCATAAACTTTATAGAGTGCTCTATGACTTTGTTGAGCTGTCTTAAGTATGTCAAAGATGTTCTTTTTTATTTAGGCCTTGTACCTAATAGCAACTAATGGAACCCCAGAACTTCAGAATCCAGAAAAACTTTCCCCAATATTTCGGGATTTCTTAAATCGATGTTTGGAAATGGATGTGGAAAAAAGGGGTTCAGCCAAAGAATTATTACAGGTAAATTTTAAAAGGATTTGATTTTGTGGAATAGTTGACTTTTTTGGTAACCAACAGAACATTTTCCTAGGGCTAATAATTAGATTTCACTATTCACTGATCACCAGCAGTATGGCAGCTGCCACAATTTAGGGTTTCTTCTGCTGGGAATAAAATTCTGACAATAACATAAGGTGCAGTTTGTGCATATTATCAATTCTCAGACCTGTTTATTGCTGGCATATGTATATTTGTCAGACTAAAATGATTCTGCTTTTATTCAACTCTAAAAGTAATGTATTGATTATGTTAGTCTTATGAAGGTATTGAAATATGTGTTTAGTTTATTAAATAAATTATGATAGACAAGTAGTGTTTGGGGCTTAATTGAACAGAATTGTTTCTGACCTGATGAATGGCACTTATACATTTATTTTTCCCCTTCTTTCTGGCAGCATCCTTTCCTGAAACTGGCCAAACCACTGTCTAGCTTGACACCATTGATCATGGCAGCTAAAGAAGCAATGAAGAGTAACCGTTAACATCACTGCTGTGGCTGCATATTCTTTTTTCCCTTTTCTAAAAGAAGCCTTTTAGTATATGAAAATTATTACTCTTTCTGGGGTTTAAAGAAATGGTCTGCATAACCTGGATGAAAGAAGCAAATGACTATTCTCTGAAGACAACCAAGAGAAAATTGCAAAAAGAAAATTATGACTTCCATGTGAACCCCTTCTTGAGGGTCCAGAAGGAATTGTGGACTGAATCACTAGCCTTAGGTCTTTCAGCAAACAGCCTATCAGAGCCATTTATCATGAGTGAGATTTGCGTTTTACTTTGCTGACTTTGTTGTAATAGATCCCATTCATTGTCCCATTTGGGGTATTTCTAATACTTGAATGGCAGATTCGAGTTTTTCAGAGTATTTGTTTCATCTGCTACTCTTTCTCTCCTTCATAGCTTTCCTTTTCCTTAATTTCCTGCTTTTGAGTTTCTCATGCCTAGGCAAGTGTAATAGAAATTATGTAGCTCCTTATGTTGGCAAAGGAGCTCTATATAGTTTCACTTTGTGTAAAAGTTAGGACCAGCTGTTGTTACATGTAATATTTTAGTTCAGAACTTGACCTGAAGGAAGGGAAGAAAAGTATGTGATTTTTACCTTTTTTAACAAATGTGAAGAAGCCAGTTTTAGAAATTTTGTGGTATTAAGTTTGGCATTTGTTACATGTATAGAGAGAAGACTAATAATCTATATTTATAACTAAATCATTGAGATAGAAAAAGATTCCCATTGACTATAGAATTCTTCCAATTTTGTCTTCCCTTCTGCCTGTTTTCTCTTCAGGTTTGGCTCTAGGAGCCAAAGTGATTTGTTCTTGTTCCAACCTGGGCTTTATGACTTTGGTTAGTGCCACTACCTTCCTCTTCTCTCCTTTTTCCCCTTCATTTTGGAAATAAATTTCTGTATATGTTGCAATTTTAGGTTTAGGTTTGTTCTTTCTGTTTTTCATTAATCCTCTCTCGCCTCACACATACCCCCCTCCCAGGGCAAATAATACAATAACCAGTGAATTTTCAGAATTTAAAATTAGCTTTCCCCTCCCCCCCATTCAAAGGAGAAAAATATTTGGGACTAGCAGAGGCAGAGTGACAGACGGGAACCTCGGTGAGCTTTGATATAGTGAGACAAGATTATATTCATGAAAGAGAAATGTTAGTGTTGCAGAGGAGCCAGCTGATAACCAATCAACCACAGACTCTTGTGGAAGTCTCATTGTCCCAGATCATTATCAGTGTTTTATTATCTTTGAGAGCTTCTGTGACAGAGTATTTCTTGGTGAATTTATAGATCATTTGAGATGTTGAGTTATTTTAGTTTTGTTTTTTCTTTTCAAATAAGTAGAGAATATTAATGTAAAAAACTGGAGAAAGAAAAATGATATGTGCGTGTTAATAGCAATAATTTTTTTCTTTTAAAGATTCTGAAAGGTCTGAGACCTGTAGCATTAATTATTTGAGTGCCCTCTCTTCTCTCCTCCCCTCCCATCCCCTCCCTCTCTCCTCTCCTCTCCTTTATTTGTTGTTTTGCTTTTGGAGCAGGTATTGTTCAAATATCTGTGGTTTGGTTCTGGCATTTTGTTCCCCCCATTGACTTCACCCTTGCTTGCCACCCTGCAGTCGTACAAATCATGAATAAAAATAATTTTGCTGTTGTGTGTACATTGGGGAAACCAGCAGGGTTTTATTTCCATTATTTTATTCCCACTCTATGTTAATATACAATTATAAGGAGAGAAGTGACTGTTTTATATTGATAAAGCAGGAAAGTTTTCAGAAAAATGAGTAAAATAATTAATGAAACATATTTAGAGCACTTAATGGTCTCTGTTTTCAATATAATTCTTGATTTCATTTCTCTCTGGACTATATTGGCCTTCAACAGCTATTACTGAATTACAGAAACTGGTTTTTCTGGTAGAAAGCTGCAGTGCCACTGGAGTTTCACATTTTAACATTCTTCATAAATGGTTGGATGGATTATGATAAAGAAGATGCTACCAATGAAATAGAAAACCACCTAGATGATAAGACTGTGACCGTCATGCACTCAAATACACTTCCATCCTAAGTCAAAGACCATATTCGTTGACTGTGCCAATGCCTTGTTTTAGGCTTGTGACTCAGCAAAGGGCTTTTTAATTGGTAGAAGCAGTTTGGGATTTATAGTTACAACTTCTTTGATAGTTACCTGCACGTGCATTGCTGGTAACTGACTTTTGTCATTACAACCTGGCTCTTAGATTAAGGGAGATACACTTTGGTTTATTCTTAAGTTACCTGGATAAACTAACCTCCAATAGAAATATACTTCGGTTAATTTTGAAATGTGTCATTTTTAAACAAAATAATTGTAAAACCAAAACAGAATTGTGATTTATTAGATGTGCTGCCAAAGCGAGCACAGAATTGTGATTTATTAATTTTAACTTAAAACGTTAAGAACTTGTTGGAAGAACAATTTGAATCAAGATTTTTTTTTTTTTTTTTATTTGTTTGAGACAGAGTCTTACTCTGTCACCCAGGCTGCAGTGCACTGGCATGATCTCAGCTCACTGCAACTTCTACTTCCTGGGTTCAAGCGATTCTTGTGCCTCCACTCCTGAGTAGCTGAGATCACAGGTGTTCACCACCATATTGAGCTGATTTTTTGTTTTCAGTAGAGTCGGGGTCTCACCACGTTGCCCAGGCTGGTCTCCAACTCCTGAGCTCAGGCAATCTGCCCACCTCAGCCTCCCAAAGTGCTGCAATTACAGGTGTGAGCCACTGCGCCTGGCCTCATGTTTTTTAAATAATTGCCTTTTATATTCACCCATTTTGTTATCACTCTAGAATGAAAGTTCCCATTTAAATCTAAAAGTTGCTTTAATAGTCCTCTTGTGTTATTAGCACAGTATAACTATAGTATTTATTATATTTTAGACTCTCTGGTAGTCTTAAAGTTATCTTTTCTTTCTTCTACTTTTAGGGACAGTTAAAACTGGGAAACTATGAAACATTGAACATTGTATCCTACCTAGAATAATAAATGAGTAATTGTGTAGCATAAGACACCAAGACTAATACAACTCTATCTTTGAGTGCCTGGCACATAGTATTCATTCTCTTCCCTTTAACATATAAATGTTAAGCTGCTTACAATTTATTTAGTAACCACCAGTTTTAAACGAGCCTGTGCCTTTAACAAGCAGTTTTAAACTACCTATGAGTATTTCTTTATAGGGCTCACTTAAATACATGTTTGTATATACTGTATTCTAGCCAGAATAATTTTAGATCTGATCAGGTAGTAGCTAAAATTAGGAAAAAAAAAATAGGTGCTTAAAGAATTTGCATCCATTTTTGAATCTAAATCTTTTTAAATATACTGAGATCCGTATTCAGTGAAATGTCAGTGTCAAAGTAACATTGTAGATTATAGCTAAAATCCTGATTCATACTCGGGGTTTTTTATGGTGGAACTTGATAGTAATATAAAAAGCAGATTGTCTTCCTGTCTCCGCTGCTCCCACAGTAGGCATTTAAACAGGTAAAATCAGTTTTTTGATAGTGTATGTATGTGTGTATATAAGAAAAAATATATATACACATTCTTTTTTCTCAGCACATTTATTGAACTCTCTGGCAAAGATGCTGTGGTAGACGAGGCTGGAATTAAAAAGAAGCAGCAAGCACTGGCTTGGCCTTGAAAGAACTGAAGTCTTTCTCACTCTTCTAGAATGCTGCCGAGACAGAGCAGAAAGAAATGTATGATAATTCTGTCAAGCATACTTTGATTCTTTATTAAGAGAAACAGTTAATGTTTGGAATTCAGCATCTTCGGTTGGAACACATTGGCTTTTTTTTTCTAGTTTTGATAGAAATTGAATTAAGTGACAGTAGTTTGTCTTTTCTGTTGTCTTCAAATTTTATAATGCCTTTTATTTTTAATTTAATCCCGTTCAATTATTTAATTGTTATACATTGACATTAACTGCTGTATTTTATGATTGTTCAATAATTTTGTTCTTTCAGGGCTAGAAATAAACTTTTTAAAAAAATATGCATCTTTCCCTTTCCTAAACTTTTATTCTTTCTTTGGATCAGAATAAATAGAATATTTAAATGTCTTAATAGGTTTTCAGAGAGCATTCTAGTATTTATAGTGATAATTTTTTTGTTGTTGTTGTTGTTTTTGTTCGTTTTGTTTTGTTTTGAGACAAAGTGTTGCTCTGTCACCCAGGCTGGGGTGCAGCAGCGAGATCTCCACTCACTGCTACCTCTGCCTTCCAGGTTCAAGCGATTCTCCTGCCTCAGCCTCCTGAGTAGCCTCCTGATTACAGGTGTGCCACCACGCCCACCTAGTTTTTGTATTTTTTTAGTAGAGACAGGCTTTCACCATGTTGGTCAGGCTGGTCTCCTGACCTTGTGATCCTCCCACCTTGGCCTCCCAACGTTTTGGGATTACAGGCGTGAGCCACCATGCCCCACAGATATTTTAAATCTTTTAATGGTGGTGTGCCACCATTTTGAATGTATTACAAAGTTCCAAAGTAGGAAGATTTCTAGAAATATATGGGTAGTAAATGTGAAGTTTTCCTTTTTTTTTTTTTTTTCTGTTTCGAGACACAGTCTCATTCTGTCTCCCAGGCTGGAGTGCAGTGGCATGATCTTGGCTCACTGCAACCTCTTCCTCATGTTCAAGTTATTCTGCCTCGGCCTCCCGAGTAGTTGGGAAAGTTTTCCCCTTCTAAATCAAGATCAGAGTAATTTTCTCATCAATGTTTCTTTATCAGACACAGGGAAATACTTCTGATTTGGACACACCTGGCTGGAGTAATAACCTGATCAGAATTTCTGTGTTAAATGAACCAAGAAACCTTTAAGAGTGCAATGCATTACAATATAGCATAAATCATCACTTCATTATATGAATTTAATTTGGAATGTTATAGGGAACAGCCATAATAATGGTTTACTATCAAAAAACAAAAGAAGGCCATGCATGGTGGCTCACGCCTGTAATCCTGACACTTTGGGAGGCCAAGGTTGGCAGATTCCCTGAGGTCAGAAGTTGGAGACTAGCCTGGGCAACATGATGAAACCCCATTTCTATTAAAATACAACAACTCAGGTGAGTATAGTGGTGCATGCCTGTAGTCCCAGCTACTCGGGAGGCTGAGGCACGAGAATTGTTTGAACCCAGGAGGTGGATGTTGCAGTGAGCCAAGATCATTGCCATTGCACTTTAGCCTGGACAACAGAGCAAAACTTGTCTCAAATAAAATAAAATACACTTTTTTTTTTTTTTTTTTTTTTTTTACTGAAACGGAGTTTCGCTTTTGTTGCTTGAACCTCCCAAGTTCAAGCGATTCTCCTGCCTCAGCCTCCCGAGTAGCTGATATTACAGTTATGTGCCACCACGCCCAGCTAATTTTGTATTTTTTAGTAGAGATGGGGTTTCTCCATTTTGGTCAGGCTGGTCTTTAACTCCTGACTTCAGGTGATCTGCCTGCCTCAGCCTTCCAAAGTGTGGGACTACAGGCATGAGCCACTGTGCTCAGCCAAAGTATATGTATGTTTTATCCTGGGTGAGAGGTGGAGGCAATGACTTTTTATTTATTTATTTTTAAGATGGAGTTTCATTCTTGTTATCCAGGCTGGAATGCAGTGGTGCTATCTGAGCTCACTACGACCTCCGCCTCCCAGGTTCAAGCAATTCTGCCTCAGCCTACCGAGTAGCTTAGATTACAGGTATATGCCATCAGGCCCAGCTAATTTTTGTATTTTTAGCAGAGACAGAGTTTCACCATGTTGGTCAGGCTGGTCTCAAACTCCTGACCTCAGGTGATCCACCCTCCTCGGCTTCCCAAAGTGCTGGAATTACAGGCTGACAATGACTTTAAAATGTATTTGTTACACTATATGGCTGTTTTGTCT